CGACGTGCCACCGTGATCCCATCGATCGATGTATTTATCAGCAGTAAACATGCTATTTTAATATTCAAGCAACACTTTGCCATAATTTCAGGAATTGACCATTTGGGAATATTATTGTCAGGGGACCGCTTTTATGACCCGTATTCACAGGAGTGAAGTGTTAGCATAGAAACCTCCATCGTTAACATATGGTATTCGAGAATATAATTAACCAGACCTTTCACACTAATGGCATCACTGATACCATGATTCAATCATGCATACATACGGCTGCTTACATTTAAAAGCATCAACTTACACTTCCAGCAGCACTTGCATAATTTATTTCTATTTCTCGATACCTGTTCACAACCGTAGTTGACATTGCCCCCAAGGGAAACAAATTAATTATCGTCAATAGTCATCACCACGACATAATTAAGCTAAACAGACGGATGAGGACGATGCATTTTGACCTATCTGTTGCCAGAAGGTAGTTGTGTTATAAAGTGGCCACGATGTTGACGCTAGGGATACTTCTTGCATTTACATTATGTGGAGCACCTGCGGAGGACACCAAGACATTTGGTATGTTCAAACTGTTTTTCAATTATTATTTACTATTTCGCCGATCCTAAAGCTGTTAGAGCTAGGATATTTGCTTAGCTTCATTTTGTTTCTGCGAAAAGAGCCGACTAATTAAAAATGTCAAACACACAGTTTTCAGGACATATCGCATTTGAAACGAGCAATTTATTATTCGGACAGAATCCAATGGCGAGTTAATTTGTTCCTGTTTTCATTTGAATTTAAACGAAAGCCGACGCCTTGATATTGGCGAAAATCTGTTCAAAACTGAGGCAAACTCACGCATCTTTTATTATTGTCTTCAAACTAAGATTGTATCAAGGCTCATGGAATGATATCTCATGATCGTTTGATATTGCCAGGAAACCTTGTTCAAGAGAGATAGCATGTTAGTTTGATTTTGGTTTGAGATCAGCAACTCAAAAAACATGTTACAATAGTAATTATTGCTTTCATGTCTTATATAAGAAGATTGTTGGGTAGTGGATCTAAGGTTGTAGAGATGGTCTAAATATTAAACATGAACGTTAGAGAATACCAGTCTCGATTTTCCACCGAAACAGGTTCAATCGGGCCTAAAAATCAAAACGGAAGTGACAATTATATGAATGGATCACTTTAACTCAGTGATGACGCCAGATATTCGTGAAAAGGGTATGCCTAGGTTACCTGCCGGTAACACCCGCTACTCACACAACTGCAATTTGCATAACAATTTAGTGTTTGTTTGTTTGTTTGTTTGTTTGTTGCCGCCATAAGTCGGCGGCCTGTTGTTTGGTTGGTTGGTTGGTTGGTTGTTTAACGCCGCACTCAGCAATATTCCAGCTATATGACGGCGGTTTGTAAATAATCGAGTGTGGACCAGACAATCCAGTGATTGACATCCTGAGCATCTATCTCGGCGGCCTGTAAACAATCAAGACAATGAAGTGATGGACCAGAAAATCTAGTGACACGACAGCGAATGTACTGATTTGTTTTAAAAAAAATGAAAACGATCTATTAATTTTGAATCACGTTGGCTGTGTACAAATGCAGAGACATGCTTTGGTACAGTCAACGTCGGGATATGACAAGTGACGGTGAGGTAGCCTATTGGTTAAAGCGTTCGCTCGTCACACCAAAATCCGGGTTCAATTCCCCACATGAGTCCAGTGTGCGAAGAACATTTCTGGTGTTCTCCGTCGTGACAGTGCAGGAATATTGCTAAAAGCGGTGTAAAACCACAGTCGCTCACTCACTTGACATGCCCAAGTTTATCCAAGGCGAGAATTAATAAGTAATATTTCAACTTTGTTTGACCAATTATTTATTCCGGCAAGACTTTTAGTGGTAATCCATTCACTGCATGTAAAGGTGACGTGGCCAATATTCAAATAATTGCATTTAAAGAGCAGCACTATCATATACTGAACAGCAATGAAAACGCACCAGCAATAAATCTTGAAATATTACAAAAACAACTTGAGCAATGGCCGATTTTGATTAGAACAGACATAGACGGATTATTAAGAAAGACGACAAAGGAAACAGGAATACCACACAGTAATTACAATTACGTCATCAGTGTAAGGAAGACACATAGGGTTAAAATGAAAAGTCAATATCTGGTATGTCCGCCATTGACAGCAACACAGGCCATGCAACGTCTTCTCATTGATCGAATAAGTCTGCGAATAGTGTTCTGGGGCATTCCACTCTTGACGTAGTGTATCTTCAAGTTCTCTCAGGTTCTGTACTTGCGGACGACGTGAGAGGCGTTGACCCAGGTAATCCCATAGATGTTCATTTGGCGATAGATCGGGTGACAGGGCTGGCCATGGAAGCAGAGGCACATTATTGTTCGCTAGGTGCTGTGTTGAAACACGTGCTGTGTGCGCTCTTGCATTATCTTGCTGGAAGGTGTGCATATCCTGGTGCTGATGAAAGAATGGGATGACGTGATTTGCCAATATGTTATTCCTGTAGTAAAGGGCATTAACTCTTCCACGACAAACATAGAGCTCTGTTCGATGGTTATAACTGTTGCCGCCCGACACCTCTGCTGTTAATCTTGGCATTTCTTGTGTCAGTACCCTTTACGTCTGCAGCAACAAGTGATGTGGCTTTTAAGAGTTTGTCTTTTATAGCCCTATTCTGCATGCTTCCCGTGAAACAAAACACGTTTTCCATGATGTGCACGCAATTTGTTGCGTTTTGGCGATTTCGCTCACAAAAAAATTAGGAATGTGTTTTGACGAGCTGTTCTTCATGCTTCGTCCAGAACGTCGTATATTACCCATTCACTTATATATTTTCATATGACTTAAGCCCGGATAAAAATACATCCGTTTTCATGGTGGTGCCTTTTCAATGCTTATCAGTATATATTATAGAAGGTGCCGATCACATTCCCCATCTAGTGTGTTTGTCCTAGTACCAAAACTAGGGTTTCATACCCGGTATAGGACTCTCGCAATTATTTCGATGTTTGATGACCCCTATATCTCACACACATATACAGAAAAAATCGGTTTCTGTGAAGTGGTAATGAACCGTGCTTCCTAAGTATCCAAGTTACTTTCCGGTAATACATTCTCGGCTAACGATAGAAACAGACCAAAAGAATGTTAGGGGTATCCCATGGCTTGAAATATGTCGCTTATCTCCAACATACATTGTGACTATTAATCTTAACCCGCTCACTCACTCACTCACACCCATCATACACCATACATTGAATGTTTTTGCGTCAAATTATTGGTGCGCTGTTAAGAACACATTTGCAAGGCTCGCGTCATTTTCGTGTAAGGGTGTCCTCTTATTGTTTGCTCGGAGTTACTGTGTTACACGACAACACCTTTCATATCATCTTCCCGAGGCAAGTGACTTTAAAAGTCCAGTTTCCACCCTTGCCGAACTAGGCTGGAATTCCTGGGCTCGATCGTAGCGCCACCAGTGGCTGTTAGGAGTTATGTCCCTCACATGCATCGCATATATATGGACCAATCGGATTCCACATCTCGTATCACTTGACTGTCGATCTGATCGAGATCTATATTGTGATAAAACGGTTCTTCCTTCGCGAAGTGCATCAAACCAGGTGAACACCTTGATCACAAAACATGAAGAGATTTGGAAAATATCTGTTGACAACGAGTTAGTGGTGCACATGCTTTTCAAATCCTGCAATCGACCGAACTCTGCATGACAGTTTACGAACTGGATTTCGATTTCCTTGCGTGATTTTGATTGGACTATGCAGAGACTTGTTAGTCCACCTAAAATCTAACTCCATAATACCAGCCTAGTTCGGCAAGGGCAACTCTCTTGCCTTGGAAGATGCTTTCATATACGCTGGAGAAGTATATCGGCGTCATTAGACCACCCATATGTACAGCCAAATACTTTGTGTAGAGCCTATTATCGGTGTTTCTCACTAAATCAATTCGACCCGTGAAGATCCGGGTTAGAATAGGTCTTCGCCGTAAAAGGCGACTGGGCTTGTCGTAAGAGGCGACTAACGGGATCGGGTGGTCAGGCTCGCTGACGTGGTTGATGCATATACTCGATCCCGATTGCATGGATCGATGCTCATGATATCAATCACTGAATTGTCTGGTCCAGACTCGATTATTTACAGACCGTCGTCATAAAGCTGGAATATTGCGGAGTGCGGCGTTAAACAACAAACAAACACACACTAAATCAATTCCACAACCTAAACACTATAAATGGCACAACCCATGCCGCTTCACTCTTTATCCTCGTCACATGAGTTTGATTTGTATGTGTTGGATGGGAATAAATATAGTGTCGTGTTTTCAATGGTAGTAATGCTACCTGTAGATTTGACAGCGATTAACTAAATTTGAAAACGAACGCACAACGTGAGCTGGACATAGTAAACAAATATGTTCTCATGCTATAAAATAAATTAAATGTTTGTTCATCTTTGTCTATTTTCTACAGGGGAAAGCCTTGGAATCACCACCTGCGAAACAGACATTGACATTGTCTTTGTTCTGGATATGTCAGCAGCTACTGCAAATATAAGGAATTTCTTTACAGTGAGGGAAAGCTGTATTAGAATTGTCCAAGGTTTCAGCCCGATGTATGTTAGAGCTGCAGTGGTGCTGCTTTGGGGAAATTCTGTTGAAATATTGTATGAATTCAGTGATGTTGCCACACTCCAATCGCTTTTTTATTACCTTGATTTTTCTTATGAAGGATCTTTCGAACCCGGTAATTTTGAAAATGCTGTTATGGTGGCCTCTTTTGAACTATTTACTGAAATGATGGGACATAGGCTGAGTGCTATGAAGCTTATAATGTACATGACATCAGGTAGTTTTTCACTATATGACGACGGGAGATGGCATGGATTACAGGATGGTGTAGCAGCAGATCATGATGTACATATACTAGCTATCCTAATCGGTTATGCGGCCGACATGTATCCACTAGAGGTCCAGATGCCCTTCCTCAATATGAAATCGAAATTTAAGGTGCCAGACATTGCCTCGCTGGACGAACACATCCTCATCTTGTTCCGGAACATCTGCCCAGGTACGTGTATGACAACATATCTGTTAGCATATTAGATAATTACTGGTATTAAAATGACCTTGATACATCGGTTTAAATCTCAAATAATTTATATCAAAATTTGACTTTACGAGTCGTTATTGTTCTTGTCTTTTGTATGTGAGGCCATATGGCCAATAGTACATGACGTATACAATACACATCTACAGTAACAACCACACAACCCGTATAATGCATATTTGGAAGACTTAATTGACATTAGTCACAGGTATAAGTATTGTAATATTGACTCATCGAGACATGTACAGCATTCTGTTCCTCAAAGTGAAAATATGAGAAAAATATTTTTAAGATTTATTATTTTTATTATTATTATTATTATTATTATTATTTATTTATTAAAATAAAGGTCTTGTCACTAGTTTGTAGAAGCTAAACAATTTTATTTAAATGTTTTTATTTTGTAATTCTATATATTGTGGACATTTGGAGTAATAATATTCGCCATCTTTGTTGTTGTCAAAGTATAAACATGATTTTAGTTCAATTTCTGTTGTGTTTGAAAGTCTGCTTTTACATTGAATATACATTGAACTGTTGCATCAATATCGTGTTGCTACGAAGTGTTATAGATTTAATTGCTTTGGGGTAGTTTTCTGGTGAAATGTTCGCTTAAATTCTGAGTAATAATCAACACAGTTGGATTTTCTACTTCGCAGAACCTTTCTGTTTAGGATATGTCTTTACATGGAAGTTTGAATAGTTTTGATATAAATCTCTGCTACCGACGTCTTGTGCAAAACCACCCATTTCTTTCAGACACCCAGTTGTTGCCACCTTTTCGTAGAGTCGTTTCAGTGATGAATTCAAGGTTGTTTGTTAAGTCTGACGAAAGTACTCTACTTTGAGAATTAAGATTACTAATTGAAATATATAAACTACTTTATTTGAGATTTTGTAGCTGAGGTGGTAGTAGAAATTTAAAAAAGTTTAAATGAACCAGTCCAAGATCATCGCTGTGTTTCATTGCCAATAATAATACTAATAATAATAATAATAATAATAATAATAACAAAAACATAATGATGAGTGTCAACCAAGCGAAGTGCCATAACAAATGGGCCCAGACTCTGCATCGGGTTTATGTGCAGTGTGTTGAGAAGATAAGCAACCCTGCAGAGTCCTTCGCTTGAATGAAGTCGGCTGGCCAGAAAAGTGAAACAGAAGGCTTTGTGTTTGCTGCTCATGACAAGTCACTTCCCACTCGAAACTGTCAATGTGTGATCTTGCATCAAAGTGTAAATATGAAATGTAGAATATGCAATGAATGTAATGAGACTGTCCAACACATTGTCTGTGGATGGCCAGCTTTGGCACAAACACAGCATGTTAAGTGGCTAGATCATTTTATTACCTTCTTCGCCATACTTTTGGTTTTGACACAGAGGACCATCCATGATACGATCCGGAATATGTAGAGGGCGTCATGGAAAATGTTACATAAAACCCTTTGAATAGGCCCGTATACAGCAACAAACATGATCTTGTCCTTTTGATAAATCAATTGAATTCATTTATGCCATTGAATTTTCTCTCCCTTTTGACACTAATGTGATTGATAAGATTCAGGAGAAACATGGCAAATATGCGGACCTCGCTCTCGAAATTTCACGCTTGCATCCAAAGTACTAAGCTGGCCGACTCCCCCGTTGTTCTCGGTGACTGAGGTTTGGTGTCTCCCAATCTGTTGACTGACATTGGGAGAGTACCCGGGTTTGCTGCCAGGAATACAGCCCTTCTGACAATCTTGGTAATGCAGAAGGCTACAGAGTCTTCACATTGTCCATGCGTCAATCAAGTCAGCGAGCCTGACCACCCGGTCCCGTTAGTCGCCTTTTACGACAAGCATAGTCGCCTTTTACGGCAAGCATAGTCGCCTTTTACAGCAAGCATGGGTTGCTGTAGACCCATTCTTCTTAATATACAATAGCGTGTTTTTACAGGGCGAAATTACATTCACGAATATACCGACATAACAAGATATATTAAACATCATTCAGTTTGTGACGAAGGCAGCGGTTGGACGTATTACGACGGGAGATGCCACCTTGCTGTGGAATTCGATGAAGACATAACATGGTTGGAAGCAAAGAGCCAATGCCAGAATCGAAGAAGTCACCTGACCACCATCCGAGACTCTGAAGAAGACTCATTTGTAAACACATTGGTTCCCTCGTCGTCCGATACGACATATATTGGTAAGTAAGCTGTTGATTCAGGGAATATTAATTATATTGGGTGCCTATACAGCACAACAAACAACCATTACTGACATACTTTCAATGTAAATAATCGCATCTTGAGGAAACAATCCAGTGATTGATATTCTGAGCCACGATTCACGCCGTCAGGGTACGTTGACACGTTTGCTACCAAGTCACTGAGGTTTACACTGTTAGGGAGTGAGTGAGTATGGTTTTACGCCGTTTTTAGCAATATTCCAGCAATATCACGGCGGGGGACACCAGAAATGGGCTTCACACATTGTACCCATGTCGGGAATCGAACCCGGGTCTTCGGTGTGACGAGCGAACGCTTTAACCAATTACACTGTTAAGTCGCCTCTCACGAACAGCATAGGTAGCCTAGAATCCCCTCAAGCAACAATTCGAGTCTGGAACATAAATAGTTGGTTGGTTGTTTAATGCACTCAGCAATATTCCAGCTATATGACGGCGGTCTGTAAATAATCGAGTCTGGATCAAACAATCCATTGACATCATGAGCGTCGATCCGCGCAATTGGACCAAGTCAGCGAGCCTGACAACCCGATCCCTTTAGTCTGCTTTTGCGACAAGCATAGTCGCCTTTTACGGCAAGCATGGGTTGCTGAAGACCTATTCTACCCCGGATCTTCACGGGTCTGGAACATGTGTAGTCAATCATGTGATTAACATGATGAACATTGATCCACGCATTTGGAATACGATAAGATGAAATAAACCAAGTCACCGATCCTGACCACCCGAGCCATTTAGACGCCTCTTACGACACACAATAGTCAATCAATAGGTGAGGCGAAATGGGATTTAACGTCGCGTTCAAGATCACTGCACGTATTTAGAAACGTGCATCGCGAACAGTAAACATTGCACTTAAACAGCAACGTGCATGCACCTGCGTGCGTTCCTGAATGGGTTATTGATGCTGATTTATGGAAAGTAGGTATCGCGAAATACGTGATACAAATACAAATACGTGTTTCGTATAATTATTATGATACCCGGATATCTTTATTATCCCCCTCAAAATTAACAGCTTTACATGTATTGATAAGGTTCCTCGAGAACAAACGCCGATGTTCAAATATTCTCGTGGGTATCCTGCACGACATTTGAATAGGCAGCGGTAAAGGCGGATTGAGAAAGGACGAGGAAGGAAACGGGTCCATTTTGACCTTGTCAACTTATTATGAGGGAGTTATTCAAAGATTATATAGTCTATATGTATTCCCTGTTATGTTCAACTATCTGAAAATTATGAAATTTTGATATATTTTTTTTAACAAGATCTCTTTGAACAAAATAAGCAGTCATCAACAGAAGGAACGTGTATGCTAATTTTCAAAACTATATGTGCATTCAGGAGCTTCATAGCACAAGATGTTTACAGAGCAAGTTTTTAATGGAATTAACTCTTAAAAATATTCTCCTCAAATACTGTTCCAGATCGATACTTATCCATTTATCAAATCATTTTTCATAGTTGTCCGACATAAAGGCTTCATTGCAATAAGTAGGCAATTTAAGCTGATATACGTGGCTGAGTTGTTAGGTTTGGGTTGCAAATGGCGTTATCTGGTATAACATCCACGAGGTGCAGAGATGAACAGTTTGGTTTTAGAAGTAAATATATCAATGTCTAAGTACATGATAACACTTATTATGTTACAGGTCTCAGGAAAGACTACAGGAATCGCGTAAATACAGGACTTTATCGATGGGACGACGGTACGATTATGACATATACGAACTGGTAAGTAAACATGTTTGTGCGAGGATCCATTCTGTAACTGTTCAACATGTGTTCCAAGATGAACAATTAACAAAGGCCATTGTGAAAATGTACGTAATATGTATGTGAATATATAACAATCAGTGAATTGATCAGATCCATAACAAATATAATTAAGAATTGACCTTCACTTTGTGTGAGTTCATTGGAGTATGAACCTTCATAGAGTGAGGGCCAAACTGTATAAACGTCAGAGCTTGCCTAGGCACGGATTGAGTCGAAACTACGATAGTTTAGATGTGCATTTCTTCGTTTGTACATTAGGATAGGTCGCAGCGATGATATTCGTGAAAAATCATGCAATCACGCTCTCTGACATTTCGCAATGTATACTGAAACGCTGAGAACAAGAATAAAGGTTCTAAATGATCAGAAAGAACGCTTATGTATGTTTTCGTGCTAGGGAATTCCCAGGGGTTTCCCCAGGAATGTGGAAGTAGTCCGTCAGTGTTTACGTCATCAAGAACACGATCTCGTGAAAAACGTATGAACGTCAAATTGTGTCGTTCATACACTTATGAACGTCAATTTCGCGGTCAGGTGACCGACCTCTCGTCTATGGGAAAGCCGTATATCGTGTAAACCTCAAATTAAAAAAATATTAGGTTCTTAAATTTAATTTTCTGGTAACATATAGATCAAACATTACAAAATGGAGTAGATATTATCCATTTATATGCGAGAACTTTCAGCTCAAACGAGCCTCTGCAGGCCATATATATATATATATATATATATATATATATATATTAACGCATTAAGATATATCCACTAATAGAATATATCGATCTCAACAGGGGCCCGTTTCACAAAACTCTCTTAACACCTACGACGCTAATTTTAGGTGTATTTCAATGTAAAGGATCAATGATTTAATTTTAAACGGCGTGAAGGCTAAAATGCAATGTAATAGTCATGTATTATATACGATATTTTCTGAACTCATT